TTCTGCAGATAAACCCGCAGATCTGGCGCGCTATTATTGTCACAGTGTAGAGATGCATAACGATTTTCTATATCTACTCTTAATTCAGCTTACGTTGCCAGCTAACAGGCTAGCCCTGTAGAAATGGACCACAGTTAGAAACGTCAAAGTGGGTCCAGCAAAGTGGACATGCAGTCTCACAAATAAAACGTGCCAAACTGACTCTTTTAAAGAGAGAGAAGAACCACTCTTGTTACCTAAAAAGCGTTGGATGGATGGTTCTTAAAGGGAACCTGACTGTTAAAACAGTGTACAGTGCTATTGACATATGGCATATAAACCAAATGGGAATGTTTTGTTTATTACAAAAAAGACAAATAGGCCAAATTCCTCTACCAGTAGGCCACCATTGTCACACCGTGATGATTCCATATGGTCGCTCTGCCCATATGGAGAAAAATATATTCCAAATGTATGAATAAAATATATTTTCGCAATGTATGAAAATGGTCAAAATACATATTTGCTAAATACATTTTTTAAATGCATTTATCTGTATTTGCTGTTATATTCTTTCAAAGATATTACAGATATAACTAAATATGCATGAACTGAATGAATGGTACTGACTTTTGCGTTTTGCACTGTAGTTTGCATTAATCATGTGCAACTGCAGTAAGACACTCACAATTAATAAACAAGATATCAAATCATAACTGCATTTTCACAGTTTATCAATACCTGCAGCACTTACTTTTGCCATGTTAAAGGTTCATTTACTAATATTTAAAATTCTAATATAAAAAAAAAAATCATTTCAAAAGGTTTTCCAAACAGTAAAGTGCATTAGACAAGTATTTAGACTGTTTTCATACATTGCAAAAATGTATTTGAGTACATTATACACACATTTATTTTTGTAAGGTACGTTTCTATGTGTAATATTTCCACATGTATTTTGAGAGAGAGAGAGAGAGAGAGAGAGAGAGAGAGAGAGAGAGAGGGAGGGAGAGAGAGGGAGAGAGAGAGCAATCATTTGATGCAGCAGCAAAAATGGCAACCTATTAGTATTAATTTTAAAGTATTTTGCTTGGTTTATTAAGTATATTTGAATGGTTTTGGGCATGCACACCATATTGGGGCCTATATTAAAGGAAAAGAAAAGGTTCTATAAGTTTCCCCCTGGAACCATACATCAAAGGCAGAGAATATTGGGAACCTTTATTGGAGTGTAGATTGATAACGACATGCATTTATTTGTCTTGATTATAAAGGAGATTTGTATATCTATCCAACAATTTTGTATATAGGACATTTTTGGAGAAAGAAGACTGTTAATGGAAAACACATTCATTTCTCTAATATAGGTGGCTTTTCTCACACAATAGCATTGATATTTCTAGTATAGGCCTGTGTAAATCACACTCCAACCGACAAATATGATTAAAACAATTCCAAAGTGCTCTAAAGTGTGTTTTTCAACCAAATCCTCAGTTTGTTTATTTCCATTCCACCGCAATTATTGGTAAACATGAGCAGGAACGCGACGTCTTTGTTGTTTACCAGCTTTTGCTGGAAGTGTGAGAGATGTAAACTCTCAGTAGGGTGAACTGTTTCTCCATATGAAGGACACTGTATTCTCATAATAGGAAGTCGTTTCATCATTTCACTTGATGAACCAAGTCTGGTCTATTATAAGGCATTGCATCTTATGCTGAAGCGCCAGGTTTCCCCCAATCTGGCGCCCTTTTAGCGCTGTAGCCTTATTGTCAGTCGTCAAAGGCAGCTGTGAGCAGACACACCAAAGCAGAGTGAAGGTGAGTCAAATCCGTTTGATGTCTGTTGACAGTAGAATCTGAATTAGTCTCTGGCGCCTTACAGCTCGAGCACAACACCCCACCTCCTCAACATAACCCCAGTCCTGGGCGTTTAACCGCTCATTCGGAAATGTCTCTGAATTTGGGCCTTAATTTCCCTCATCGCATCAGAGCGGAGTTTGTCCGCGGAGACACACGGCAGCCTGTAACACACGCCTCGTTTATGTCGCTGTTTGTGCTGCTTGAAGTAGATTCAAAAATCTTCTCGCTCAGAGTCTTCACAGACAAAATGAGGCCAGATCAGACGTAGTACGTGGTTTTCTGATTGAATTAGATGAACAGATCAGTTTTTTCTTCTACAGTCAGCTGCCCTCAGCACTATCTACCTGTTTAATTGTATCAGATCATTAGTGAGTGATCGTCTGTGTTCAGGCCTCGAACAGCACACAAACTCCAGACTTCGTGGAGCCAGTCCCTTTGGGCTTTTGTGGAGAGTGTAAACTCATCAATGAGAGACTTAATTAGTACTAATTGCAGGCCATGATCTACTCGTTAGCTCCCGTTTGAAGTGCAGCAGCGGAGACAAACAGAATTAGTTGACACGCATATGAAAGCGCGGCGTGGGAGCGGACTGAGGGCCGCATATGGAGCACTGCTTTACAGACAGACTACAGGGTGCACTGGAACACAGGAGTGGAGTAAAAATGTAGTAAAATCTAGTAAAAATGTAAGTTAACCTGACTGCCTTAAATTTTAGATCGAACTTCGGACTGATTATTGTTTATAACCTACTATGACATTGTCTGACAATCAGAGAAATTACTGATTACGTTTAAACTTTAGACTCACTTTTTAAGTTAAAAATGTTTGACTGCAATATATTCACCATATGATGAGATGAGTTAACTGCTTTTATATGCTACATTCTTATCATGGGTTTGAGTTGTAACAATAATGGAACCCGTAAAAAAAAGGAAAATTCAAGGTAAAAATAAAATTTTAAGATATCTTACTTCACAGCAGCTTGAGGGAAGGGGAGTTCCCCAGTGCCTTTAAAATATTAAGCTGGCCAATCTTTTTTAAAAATAAATAAATAAGCAATAATAATAATAATAATAATGATAATAATAATAATAATATAATATTATTATTATTATTGTTGTTGTTGTTGTTGTTATTAACTCAGTCCTAGTAAAGAACAATTTAACCCTTTGCATGGCCAGGGCCAACTGGCAGGCCCAAAGTTTTATTACACACTTCTATAATCTAAGAATAGCTCAGCAAGTCTGCACTGAAGTCTATTTAGTTACTGAATAATAAGCCTCGGTGTGTAATAAGCCTGGGATTTTAAGAAGTTGACCATGCAAATAACTATTTAAACATTCAAAGATCAACATAATCTAATTGTCTAATTCAAAGATCCATTCAAATGTTTTTTTTTAATTATTATTATGGTTCTATAAACACTGCATTTACTAAAGAGCCTTACAGGAACCTCTTTTATAAGGGTGTAAGCTTCAGATTTAACATTTGATTAAAGCTGTGCCATGTGATTATCAATAACAATGGGTTATAACACATATATAACATTATCTAACATAATTAATCTAAGTGAAACGTGTTCTGCTCTGTAAAGAGGGTTAATGCAGGATGGATGTTGACTGTGATGCAGTTGTCTGTGTTCACAGAATGCAGAATTCCCAGCTAACTTTATCTACCTTTAAAATCTACCTTTCCAAAATAAGCTCATAATAAAATAGTCATATAAATAGCACAAGCACATACCCGCTTTATACACATTCCAAATGTCAACACTGTAAAATAAATGAGATGTGAATGAATGATGCTTTTCTGACTGAGAAAGGTCACTCAACTAATATAAGCCATTGTGCACCTATTTCCCTGAGTGATGCCTGAAGGTTTGTGATTGAGGCTCGTGCGCTTTGAAGAATTTGATAAGCGAAATAAGACCCCCACTCTAAGGCTGCAGACTCAGTGACGATATAATCATCTCAGAAGGAGATTAGAGCTGATAAGCACTGTGCTTAAATCACTGCAGCCCTGAGTTATAGAGTTATAGATGTGGCTTTTAAAACTACACTGTAAACTTTAGTTGAATTTAAAAATCATGCCAACTTATTGCCTCCAAGAAAATAAGTTACTCAACAGGTTTAAGCTTGAATAACTTTGTATATGAGTTATAGATACTTTCTAATTTTCAGTGGTCCACCCACCCCAGCAAATACAGTAACACAAACTGCCCAGTGATTATAAAAGGTGTCCGTTGAGCTGGTAGCACTCGACTTTTTTAGATTCTACTTAATCTTTAATTAGTTTGGTTAACTTAAATCAAACGCTCTTCTTTGTGTGATGTATTGGCATCAACACAACATTATATTAAATAGACTGTTTTGTACAGTAACATAGAAATTTCTGAGGACTCTAATGCATGTTTGCCATTCTGTTAGCATTTATGGCTCCAGGCTGAGCTGATAAACCTGAACACAAAGCACCATCATGGTGAGAATAACAAAAACAAGTAAAATGCATCCAAACTTCACATTTAATGTGAGAGAATGCTATTATACAAAAATATTATGCAAAAATAATTTTATTTATAAAGTAGATTAATAACAGCCATGAATGCTGGAAAGCTTTTGGGCACAGGACTCTTCAGTCTGTAGGAAAATTAACAGACTAGATTCACCTGAATAACTAAGGATTATACAGGAAATAATGTGTTACTAGGTCTGTATTAGTAACTTTAACAAATAAGTCGACCAAAAACAATAAAATTAAAAAAGTTAGAGCAATTATTATGTTTTACAGTGCATACTGTCCCTTTAAACAGTGCCATATAGCTATATTTTTACTGACAATTAAAGCTGATTGTCTAGGAATATAGCAACTCCTTGTTTCATTACCTCACTATGTCTGTATACACATCTGTTTCCACTATATGAACAGAATATTAGCACCTTTATATGAAAGCAAAGAATGACAATGACAGGTCATCACTTTCAAAGCAAATATATTCAATTTCTCTCAATAAATAAACTCTTTTCTCTATTTCATAACATTCTTTACATCTTCTGTTATATTTCTCTATACAAAAAAGTAGCCTATGTATATTTACATATATTGCACGTAAAAAAAAAACAGAATATAAGTCTTTACATTAAAGAATTCAGAGTTTGTCTTGAATCAGTAGAAAAGCTGCATGGCGTGGCTGTGCTGAGGGATCATGTGCTGGTGATGGCTGCCGGGCTGCTGGACGCTCAGTGGAGGGATCACGTGCTGGTGAGGGAATGGGGTCTGCTGGAGGGCCAGTGGGGGCATCATAAGCGGGGTCAGAGCCGGGCGCTGTCCGCTGTAGCAGTGGTGCTGAACGGCGGGGACTCCGGGGAAGAAGACGGGAGCCAAAGCTGGGACCAGATAATCTCCTCTCATTTCCTGGACCTCGCGTTTCAGCTTCATCCTCCGGTTTTGGAACCAGGTCCGGACCTGTGGTCAGCAAAGAAGACGGAGGTTAAGGACATGTTCAAAGAACAGGGCAGGCTTTGCAAATAGGTTTTAAACAGCGATTGGGAAAAAGTGAAGAACGTGACTGACCTGAGTTTCAGAGAGGCTGAGTTTCAGCGCGGTCTTGACCCTCTCGCCCGCGTCCAGATATTTGTGCTTGCTGAAGATCTTCTCCAGCTTGTCGATCTGCTCCGGGGTGAACTTGGTCCTGATCCTGCGCTGCGAGCCGAGATCTTTCTCTGCTTCGTTCACGTCTTCGACTGAGGGGCATTCAGAGGAAGCAGCCTCGCTCTCGTAGCCAGAAGAGTAGCCGCTGTTTTCTGAAGCTAAATAAAGAGAAACAGATCTTGAGTTATTGGCTGCACCTTAAAAATGAGCTCCTATAAGAAACTGATGATGAAGAAGCCTGAGATACTTACAGCTTGGAGAGGAGCAGCTTCTCGGGGTTAGTGGGCTGAACAGGACGGGCTCCTTCTCCTTTAGCCGCTCTGTGGGGGTCTTCTGCTCGGTGCATTTGGGCTTGGGCTGCAGATAGCCCTTGTCGTAAGAAGTTGGAGGCCGCGGCTGCACCGAGCACGGAACGTGGCGCCTGGGCGCAGCTGCAGCATCCAGATGTTCCGGGTCCTGCTTAGAGTCGTGATAGCTTTGGGCGAGCCAGTCCACGGAGAAGTTTTTAACCATGTTTCTCTTCTGCTTGGAGATCCTAAGTGTATCCGTGAGAGTCCTGAGAGTGTTGTGACAAGCCCCCAGGAGAGGCCCCCGTATATAAGGCCAGACCCCCAGAGGTCATTAGCATATGCATGTGGGTGTTAACGCCTGATCGATTCTCAATCATTAGGGCTTAATGGGTCGTTATTGAAGTCTTTACATATCCTGTGATTGTGCGAAAGCCTGGCGCCACGAAGTCTGTGAGAAACCTCTCGGGGGCTTCCAGCAGTCTGCGTGGCCTTTCAACAAAGCCGTGTCAGGACACCAACAGCTGGCCCACATGAAACATCTTCTGGTCAGTGGCCATATCTACAGTCTATAATACTGATAAGAGGGCGACCATTGGCCGAGTTTCTTGACCTTTCATCATGAAGACGTTCCAGCTTTTCAAAACATTTTTTTTCCACAAATGCACCATGTTCAGGTTTATTACTACTGGCTAAGGTCATTAACCATGAACCACAAGGGGAAACATGAAATGTGCTTAAGCAGAGCACTTGAGACCTTTTCCCTCTTTGAAGTGAATTTGCAGTCTTGGCATCATGAGCCTGTATTATTTTGAGAATATTACATAATATCCTACTTCTCAAACCATTTCCAGAATCTCCATACTCTTCCAAGACTAAAATGAATGCTTTTGGAATCCAACACTTTTCCAGAACTGCACAAGAACTGTGTCAACTCGTCATGCTGGAAAAGAATCATCTGACATATTTTGACTTGGATCATGTTATATTTTAATGCTGCTCTCATACCAGAAACCCAGAACTTCAATGGTCTGAGTTTATATTCAAACGTAGATTTTTAACATGTCAAAGATCTGCTGACACTGACTGTTCATTTAGTTCTTATTTAGAAATAAACTGTGGTTGGATTTATGTTAAGGGTGACTATATGCTGATCAAACGTGTCACTTTTTAGTGGGCTGCTCTCAGTGATTAGTCTCTTGTTCTCCTGAGCACACCTTCCTTTTGTAATTGAGACAATGGCAATTACAATAGAGCCCAAATGGTTTTGCAGCTACACGTCTCTAACACCCTGCAGAGCCACCGGCGCCACCAGCGTTTGGCCCCCAAACCACGCCCTCCTGCGCTGCGATTGGCTGGTCTCCTGCCTTACGATTGGCCAGTGGTGTAAACACATAATCAGTCCACCCTATGGGACGCAGGAGCTGGAAACTGTGGTGGTACAGGTGGGGAAAAACAATAACGCCCCTTTTGGTTATCTCAGATCAAAGGGATCACAGTAGCAGCTCAATTTGAGATGCAAATTGCGTCTAGAACGAGAGTAATGCCCAGACAATGGACTGTCAATGTAAGCAATGTGGTGAAAACTCCCAAACTGTGAAAGCTCTAATGTAAAACCTTTGAAAAAAAGAGACTTGGGTTTTTGATGTCTTATTAAAATATAGTTGTAGGTGTTTACACACAAATAAGAGATGAAACAGGCAAACAAAGTGCAGCCACTCTTATTGCGAGTTTATTTGTAGTGTTTGATTTCATTACATATACCTGTTAATTCAAAGATTTGAGAAATGAGAAGCTGTATGAAAGGCATTCGCATCTGGTCAAGGACAGACGATGACTCGATCTCTTATTACGTTTCACTGTCAAAGTTTTTAAATCTCTGTCCGCTGCTGGACAGACACGTCAATCCCTTTAAAGACAAGACAATGCCTTTAAAGGTGTCGTTCAGCTGTAACAATGATGATAACACCATGCTCAATGTGTCCTTTATCAGGGATCTGTAGCCGGAGAGGTTTGAGCTCTTTGCCTTCCAGTTGAGTCCTTATCTGAAGCACTTTGAAGTCAAGGCCCCTGATCCTGTCTGGGAACCTGCAGAGAATCCGACCACCCTGGAAGTCGCCTCCAGGGGCGCCTATTTCCTCCCCTCAGGGTGACAAATTGAAGCATTGTGCTGCTCTCAACTCAAAAAAATCAAAAACAAAAACAAGCAAACAGAAAGAATATTTATATTTGAAGAAACAACCACTTAATTGCAAGACAAATCAAAAACAGAAAATAATACATCACACTGCATAACACAAGGCAACCCAATAACAACAGAGAACTCTGTGCCACTAAGTGAAAAGTATCCATTTTAGAATTTTAGAGCAATTTAGAGTAGCGTGCTTTAAATAGACCTCCTGATTTTACAACACTACTGTACGTGGCCTGTGTACTAATATGCATTCACTAAAGATTGAAGTGCAGTTAAGCCATGACTGATTAATACATGCCACTGTAATTTTCAAACTCTTCTCACTACCAATAACATAGTGAAATTTTAAGATTTAAGATATGATTTCAACTGGTTAGATAACCACTTGGAAAGTGCACAGACGACAAAAATCTTTTGAATTCGTTTTGGTTTTGTTGGAGAAAAAAAAAAAACAAATGAAAAACTGTAAGTTCCCATGGAAGAGTGCTGCAGATACATGTTACGACCATATCACGCGCAGGATTCTTATGGTGAAAGGAGCTGAAAAGTCAGTGCAGCCACACAGCTCCATCGTCCAGAGGCTCCACATGCATGACTCAGACTACAGAAAACAAGGTTTTCTCAGTGTTCAGTTCTTAAACTCCATACCCATTCACTCTCTTGAGTTAATAGAGATCGTATTGCCCTCCAGCCCTGAGTGCTTAATCTCAGTGTGGGCTCACTGGAAGGACGCTTTAACCCTGCGCAGCGTGTCCTGGATCCGGCGTGTGTGCCGCTCTGCAGCCGGTTGGTTGAAGTTGGCATCATTGTCAGCAGCGAGGAGGGACACGTCACATACACCCAGATGGGTGATCCGGGCCTGCAGGTACGCCTGCAGCTCTAGATCAGGAGTGTATGAATACATGCGCTCCTGGAATGCATGGACCTGACTTACCACACACGCTATACTCCTGCAGAGAGACAGAATGGAGGGAGGGCAGAGAGAGAGAGAGAGAGCAAGAAAAAGAGAGCATGAGAGACCGCACATGAGAGGCAGAAAAAGAGAGTGACAGCGTGAGTGTGCTTACAAGGGAGAGAGACAGACAGAGACAGAGAGAAAGAGAGAGATGTATGTAAATAATATAATCTTTGTGATTACATTAATTACATAGCATTGCAATATTAGTAACACAATAGCATTCAATATTTCATTGGTAAGTGTACATGATTATTAGGCACCATTATTAGAAACCAAGCTGCAAATCTCACATACAAACTCATCTCCGGCAAAATGACTAAAGATTTTGCCTAATTCTTGCTGATGATCAGTACAGTTAGTATGTAATGCTAGTTAGTCAGTGGAAAACCACCAAACAACTTTGTCTCTTTATGATAAAAATCAGACTAAATAAACTTTTTTTAGGGAAAAGTAAAGGGGCAAAGGTCAAAAAAAGAAAAAAATCTACAAAAAAATCAAACTGACTGACTCCAAAAAGGTTCAGGGGGAATAAATCCCAGAGAATTAATTTGGACCATAAACATTAAGTAGATTTAGATTTGGCCGCATCATATATAAGGGAGGGGCGGGTGCTTCACCTAAGTTACCCTACATGTTCTTTTTATGACAGTGGAAATACGTAAGATTAAACATGTGTGGTGTACCTGTGTATGTTTATCTTAATATACTGCTGTATGATAAACATTTTTTAATGCTTTGGTAACATTCAAACTTAATATGCTCATGCTAATAAAGCCAAACTGCAAGTGACAGTTTGTGGACCCAGGATTCAATATATCATTTACACTTTAATAGCTACCAAATAATGTATAGAAATTACTGAAAAGTAAGCCTTAAGGTTAAAAACTGAATAATAACTTTACACTTTGACAAGAAAACTGAATACTTCAGCTCAACTTCCCTTTCGCTGACTCTCTGAGTGTGTGTGTCCTGATTCCCAGCTCAGAGTGTACAACAGCCAGCTGTGTGTCCGCCTCGCACCCCGACCGTTCCGACCCTGGCATCTGCCAACAACACCCAGCCCCTCGGGTACCTGGCACAAACCCATAGCCCCAAGCATGGCGTCACTACTGATACACCATCTGGCTGCGCACACTCTATACACGCATGGTGCACACAGTCACATGCACACCCAGGCTACAGGAACCTGAATGGACATGGCAGCATGTGCAGCCACCAGCTGTGTCATTACCGCTCGCTCTGACTCTCCGTGACCTCCAACCCCTGCAGATGTCTGCCAACATGTGTGTGTGTACGTGCATGTGTATCATGAGGTTTAATTCTGAAAAAATTTCCTGGCTGTGTGTCTGCTGTGGTGACAATGGCCTGAAGCTGTACCTTGCTAGAAATGCTATGCTGCTGACTGCTGGCAGTGATATTAATATGCAAATTAACAAATGAATTTATTCACAGTCAGGGGTGGACAAATACCGATAGTCCAGTGGTCTCCACAAAGTTTTTACACTGGGCACAACTTCAAGCACATTTGGTTGGCAAAGGGCTTTTTTTTAAATTAATTGATAAATTTATAAATTAATCTGTTCTTGAGAAAGGTCCTATGTTGGAAAGAAAGAAAAAGTCTACGTCAGATTCATGACGTTCTTAAACCGCAGAATTGTTTGCATCTTTGTGCTCTTGAGTGTTAATTCTAACTGACTGTAGTCTGTTAATTCTAACTGACATGGCACTGTGAATGTTTGCATGACTATCTGCCAGTCATTTTCAGACCTAGTCATTGAAGCTAATGTTCATAATGCTATATAGTTAACAATCTTTATCTGATACCGAGAAGATACAGGGGAAAATAAAACTTCTGCATTGTGGCTGGCATAACAGAATGTTATTTTTACTTTGCAACATAATACAGAATACTGGCATGTTACTTGGATAAACGGACAGACAGATGAGCTTGCATGACTGCTCAGTTAAACGTGCTAGGTTCCTTCGCTAAGTTTCTCCAACTCAAACAGAAAGACCATGCAGGAGCATAGTTTTTTTAAAGCTATGTGGGCAAGAAAAACCACATCAACCTTGTGACTGGTGAGAGTAATGTTTACATGAGCATTACCCAAGATTAGGACTGCCTGGTTTACA